TTAACCATTACCATTACATTAACTTAAACATATTTTGTTACCTAAACATTACTGTTAACCATTACCATTACATTAACTTAAACATATTTTGTCAACTACGATGCTATATGAGTTGAACTTATAAAATAATACATAGCAACATGATAAAACTTCATACTTTATCAAGCCAATATGAAGTCAAAATAAAACAAACAACTTATTAGAATTTCTCAATATAGGATTATATTAAAACAAAATACATCCCTGAAAAGTCTTGATCATGAGGTTATAATACGGTAACATTAAAGAGTCCATTAAAAATGTAGCACAATAATGACTCATGAATCCATTGACACATAGATCAAAATTGCACTGAAAAGAAGAACCGATACAAGTCAGCATTAGACTAGTCCTGTTCGATGCCATTACTGTATCGTCTTCTGTGAAACTTAACCTCTAGCACGGATAAAGTTTACTTAATAGGATACTATAGTCCTGTTTCTGTTATCCTTCTTCGATAAATTTATGAGTGGATTCGGAAAATTATTTAGGAGGCACGCACTGACTTCTAATATAGGATAGAAAGAGGGGGGGAGTTATATTTCAGTATTTCATCAAAAACGGGTTTTGATTTCAGGTTAAAAAAAAAAAACGCTGGTAGTTGTGTAGCGATAGAATATTGTAAGTGACATGGATAATGTAAGTGATATTGATATAGAATATTGTAAGTGATCTATTCTTCGAGACATCCGTATTTGGAGAGCAAATGCTTCTGTTTTTCACTGGGCATTTTCGCGAAAAGTTTCAGTGCTGCCTTCTCTTGTTCCTTCTTTTTACGTTCATAAGCATCTTTAAGTCTCGCTAACAAGTCCTGTGTCGAGTGACGGATGATCTGGTGCAGTTCCAACTCGACTTTATCCACCTCTGACGATGTGCTAGGACCATCACCGATACCCGTAACATCAGCGCTGTGTAGCGCTCGTGTGATATCCTGAATTACAAAGATACTAATTCATGGAAGTTTTATGAAAAAAGTCTTTTAATAGTGTATATTTTGATACTACGATTGATTTCAGTGTTTAGATGTTACGATCGTATTCATCCTTTTATACTAATATCGCTCTATCGGGTTGAAAGAACATTACTGAGCACTGAGGATTTTACTTGTATTGTTGACAATATAACTGATGTAGAGAGCTGGATATAAACTCATAATTGAGTTATTTGATTACTGATTAAACAAGATCAATAAATGGATGGATAAAATCGATCGATCGGCCACAAATCGATCAAATGAACGCGAAAGCGGTCACTAACCTTTTCGGTGGTATTCAATGCAGACATAGGAGCACGCCTGAAATCAGAAGGAAACTATTGAACACAATAGTTCAGTGCTTCACTTTGAAAGGATCACGCTCAGTTCCATGAGATAATTTGTTCAGAAAAGTGAAGAAGATAATCGGCTCAAAACTCATGAATTGAAGCCACTAGCACTGTGCTTTACAAAAATCGCACTTTCAAAATAACATAAAACGATGGCTAGTACATAATTCTTTTAGAATTATTCCTCAGAAATTCATACTGTCACTTTGCAAGGATACATGGGAACGATGGTGTGCTAGACTCAATAAGAAAGGTTTACTTTGTCAGATCAAATCTGAAAGAGCGATTCGATCATAATAACGTAATGCTAAATGATGGAGGTTTGGATTTGGGATGCTCAACTAAATTCAAGGCAAGCTAAGCAAAGCGACCAATATATTACCAATGCTCATGTGGTTTTCCACCGTCAGTAGTTTTTGCGGTCAATACACCATCTTTCATAATCACGCTCATTTTATGATTACATTTGATGTCCTTTTGAAAATATTCCTTGCAAACGTAATTGATTCGGAGTGTTCCATTACGTTCATACTCGTTCACACGTCGATAGCCCTTCTCTTGAATGTACAGATCCAGTGCGACCTCGTCTTCGAATTCAAGCACATAGTTGAAACTAAAATTTGCTTCTGTGAAAGTAACATTAACATCATTAATACCATTATTATAGTCATTAACATTATTAGAATCATAATTTGATAATAACAACTAATTATAATAATTGTAAGTAATATTATAATTATTCTAATTAATTAGTTGTTATCATCAAATTATGATTGATATGGTGATCATTTAGCTTAAGTTATCAGAAAGCAGTATTGGTTATTTTTATTGATAACATATCTACTGTAAAAATCATTTCGACGAATATTTTCATTTCCACGAAACTGGCTTATTTATTAAAGTATTATTCCATGTGTGAAATTGTGCACATATAGCTAGTTGATAAAGCTCTCTATATACCAGAAGTACGTTTTATCAAGTTCAATTTGATCTGATGGGATAATATTGAATTCGACGAATGCCTCATTGATAATTATAGATTTTAAGGTTATAGAAATTATATAAAGAAATCAAATTGCGATGATAAATCTTACTATCTGCATGGAACATAAGAGCCCATTATCGTGGATTG